AGATTCTCGGATTTTTTATTGATAAAAGAGTTAAAGAAAAGTGGACCCAGAATGGAGCCTTGTGGAACACCAGAAAGAGAAACCATAATGATTATGTAGATTTTCGACGAGAATGCCATGGTCTAGTCTATCGAAGGCTTTAGAGAAATCTGTATGGATAACGTCAACCTGTGAGCTTGAATTAAGTGCATCAGAAATATATTCAGTGATTGTGATGAGGTTAGAAGTACTGGATCTGCCTCGCATAAGGCCATGCTGATGAGTATCTATGAGATCTCTCATAGGGAAGTAAAGGGCAGTATGAAGAACGCGCTCGAAACATTTTGAGAAGTTGTTAATAATTGTGATCGGACGATAGTTTTCAATGAGACTTTTGTCGTTTTTTTTTTTTTTGAACTGGTATAATCTGGGATTGTTTCCACAAGTAGGGAAATTCTTCGTATTTTAAAGAAAAATTATATAATATCGTAAGGGGTTCAACAAAGACATCGGCACGGTCAGATATCAGAAACGCAGGAATCCCATCTGGCCCCACCGTTGATTTGAGCTTAATGCCTTTCAAAGCTCTTAGAACTTGCTCTTCTGTTATGCAGTTAATATCAATGGTATCTGTTAGTGTGGTTTTTGTATCTATCTGCTTTAATGGTTGAAGGGTCGGGGTTGTGTAAGAGCTCTGAAAGAATTGCGGAAACGCTTCAGTAATTTTTTGTGGGTCTGACAAAAGTGAGCCCGTTTGATCTGTCAAGTTGTTTGGTAGAGAATTATTTTTTTGTGAGCCCTGAATGAGCTTCCAGAAATGGGTTGAATTTGAGCCAATATTTTCTTCAAAATCTGAGCAGTATTTTTTGTAAGAAAAAATGTCTTTTTTCAACTGGGACCGCATTTCTCGAGAAGAATCTAAATCCTGCTAACTCCTGAAGCATTTATACTTTTCCAGGCACCATGTTGTTATTTTATTAATTTCACTATTTGCGGAGAGAACCACGGTGGATAATTTCTACGCCTTTTGGAGGTTTGAGGAACATTATCATCAAGACAGCGATATATTAATTTTCAGGTAAAATAGTTCAAGAGCAGTATTGATATTTCCAACTGATTTAAGATTATCCCAATTGATGTCCAAAAAGCCTAGAATCAAGGTAGATAAGGGACTAGACGTTCTCAGTTGTCGTCAAGAGTGGGGCACACGTATCGACTCGTGAGGGTCTTGATTCTTCTAGGAATCCCTTCAAAAGCTCTATGCCACACTCCACGGAAATGCTGTTCTTATTGAAAATGTGGCAATTTAGGAATATATTTGTTAGGAGAAACTGCTCTTCGGAAGACCCTAGGTAATAGAGACATTCCTTGAAATTTATTACTTAGAAAAAAAAAAACTTACCACGAGTGGGTTCGAAATTCAAACTTATCAAATGGTAATCACAAGATTTTTGATTCGAATACTTTCGGCAATCAACGGATTATCGCAACTGTAATTCGCTAAGATAATGCCTGAAGGCCGATAAGGTACTTTTTTCCACGAGAACGGTAATTACACTTGAGAAAGATGTGAAAAGTACTACGTCGAGTAGATCAAGGTAGTACAAAATAAGGCGCCTACGCCGTTCTCGTTACCGATAAAATATTTAATTCAGCCGGCAATAGATGCCGCTATATGGACTGAATAATTATAGAAAATTTAAAATGTGAATAATTACTTTTATAAAAAAAAAAACTAGTGACATTTGCAATGTTACAAGCTATGGATATATCCAGTTTTAAATCCATTGGTAAGCCCAATGTATCAGACTCATACCAAAAAAGTTGGGGATTATGGGTTTTTCTTTTAGCTACTCTAACATATCAGCAGGTTCATTTCGGCAATGGGGCCTGTTGAGAAATTGTAACCGAGTCGTATTTTTATACCGATGAGAAGTAGTTTTTTTCCTTATTTGATGAATAGACTCCTCCTTTGTTTTACAAAAAGAAATATTTTGGTTAATTCAATTTTCAATATTAGTAGTTAATGTACTATATTTATTTTCACATCAAGAAATAAGGCCCCATTGAGATGTGAGATATAAGTAATAATATTTTTTGGCTTGATAATCTTTCCATAAATTCTAAAAGTAATTTTTTTGATATCCACCTACCATTCATTCTAAATTATTATTTCAAGTTTTTATCGAGCCATTATCAACGTATATGTGTGTGTATTTGTATTTCGCACTCATAATGGGCCATTCTGCCAAAATACTTAACATACATACAAGAGATGTTATTTAACAGATAACTGAAACAGACAGACACGTAACAGTCAATGGAATTCCGGCCCGGCGGAGTTTTGGACAGATAACAGGCTCGTTTTGCCACTTTATATCCACGTTTAAAACATTGTCAATCGGACACTATCTGGCTCGCAGTGTGCTAGCTTTTGCAGGAACTTTTTAATCGCAACAGGTTCGCAGGGGAGAACTTTCTGTCTCTTTATTACTATTCCTTCCTATTTTTGTTTCGTTTTTTGGCGTAGAATTAACTTTTTACTTTTGTGTAGATAAGGTAAGCTAACCCACGACTGCATAAACAATACTTATATAATGGGCTTTTTGACTGAAATTTAAATACGTAAATTCAAAGCATGAAATTTTACACGAGACACTATTTGAATTTTACCTATTTTCAAAAAAAAAAATAGAAATCTATTAGGATAAATAAGTATTCTACAGGCACTTCAAAACTGGAAAAATTTAAAATCATTAAAACGCGCCCGATGATGACGTATTGAAAATCATTCCAATTAAATTTAGGAGCGTGCAGCAGCGAAAAGGCATATATATAATAAATAACTTCTCCTATCAAATAATTAACTTTTTGGGCCAAACATGAGGTTAAATATGAATATACAATGTGACTTAGAGACAAAATAAAAAGTGTTTCAGACAGATAAAAATAAATCAGTCATATTTTAAATATTCGTATTTTTTTATTCCCAAAATGATTACAAGCTTCCTAAAAAACCGAACCAGGGTTAGTTAACAATTTCGTCAAAAACAGGAAAACACTATAAAGCAGTGGCGTGTCCAGACTTTAACAGACGGGGAAGCTGTGGGGAAAGATGGTGAAAGTACAGGACAGGAGAGACTTATAATTTCAGAACCAGTCAGTCATTCACAAGTTTCATATATTTATTTTTGAAAATATCTACATAAAGTTTAGTTTAGTGTTCTTAATAAATCCTCGATGGGAAGCTGTGCTTCCCTAGCTTACATAGTAAACACGCCACTGCTATAAAGTTTTCTTCTTTCTTTCTCTGTCGGTCATATTTTCTTTAGCCCTATAGCCGAAGTATAAAATACGGAGACCATTTAGTAGTAAAGGTAAAATATAGTGGAATAGATTTATTGAAAAATCCCTCGGCGAACTAATAATGGTGACATATGACGTGCTTCAACTCCAACCAAAGGTAAGCCACTGTCAGAACTATGAAAATCTATCGATGCCGGATTTTGGATTTCAGGGCCAGGGACAGTATACACGGAGGATTTTTTTTTCTTGTCAGATAAAGATCAAATAATATTTTCTATTTTTTTGCGACAAAAAATATATCTTCCGTACTTTATTCACATTTCGTATTCGCTAGTACACCTTCGCGACCAAGTTGTAGTAGAAAGAAAGTATAGTATAAAGAAACTCAATATAAATTGGTAGAAAAGTCACTTATGTATGGAATACTTTTTCAGCAATCATCCGTTAAGAAGCAAATGTGTAATTTGTCTGCATCCCAACGCAGCCATCAAACTTTGTTACGTGCTTCTTAGAGCGCGTAATTCTTGCAACGGACCTTTAAGGTCCATGCAGGATAAACTTGATGAAACTCGGTGATTTATGATAAGGCACTGCGTCATATTCCTGCAAATGTCGTCCGAATAAATTTGATACATACAATCAAATCATATAAATTGATTTTCGTGAGCAACTCTTCACAAGGGCTATGGAATCCTGAAAATTTGTTATAGTTTGTATCTGCATAATTTATAATTTCAGCTCTCTACTTCCACTATGGAATGGACATTTTTTTTCTGGTATCGAATGTATTTGTTTACTAGCTGAAAGTGTCCTTGGAAAGAATGCAACGGGCGGGCGGTCCAGTTTGGGAGACGCATGTTTCGAATGTAAAAGGAATATATTCATGTATTGCTTTTATAACTGAAAAAAGCTGTTTCAAATGCAGAATCTATAGGAAAAGTTTTTACATTGAACAAAACTAATATTTTTTTCTGAGCAAACCTGTCCGATATTTTTTGCATTGATTCTTTGGAGCTGGTAAATTAATTAATGCTTTGAGTCTATTTGGTTTAGGTTAGGTATTTGAAAGTTCTTTGTAAGTAGTTGCCATTTACCCAGACAATTTTTTAAGTCATAAAAGCTTGAAGATATTTATTATGTTCCCTCTATGTAGCGGTGAACACAAGATACTTTGTTGACCGTTAATCGATCCGAATGGCATTCGTTTTAAAGTGACTGATATTGGTAGCTGATGAAAGAAGCAAACAGTAGAAAATTTCATATTTCGCTATACAAGGCACATAATATTCAATATCACGAAGATATACATATGCAACTAAATAAATATCTAAGTTATTTGATTGTCCGATAATCATTCTTTTAGTTATCAATGCTTCTGCTCATCATGGAGAATTACTTTCTCCAGTGATCTTCTGATGTGACAATAACTCTCAGCTAATGTAAAACCCTTTATTGAACGGATCATCTGGTTGATTTTACCGCGAAAAATTATTCCGTAAGATCAAATGGACTAATCTGAGCTTTCATAGCGATTATAACCTCCTTCATACGACTACACAAATAAATGAATTTACATGTGTCATTTCAAATAGATATTTGGTAAATAGTTATCAGCAAGGTCAATAGTTTGTAAGCAAATGAGGGTTTTCTTTCTATGGTTTTTAATTTTATAGCAGTTAGGAAAAAGAGAAAAACAACAAAAAGTTCATAAATCTTTAAACCAACTTTCTATTAACATCTTGATAGTCTCCGTCGGGAACCTGGTAATTGTTTATGGCAGGCATCTCCACAGGGCCAATGCTTTTCAAAGGCACCATGTGAAAATCAGGCTGTATAGCTTCCTGGTACAACTCCTCGGACTCATTTTTGAGCTCATGTACAGCTTTTTGTTGATGGAAAATAACCCTGTCGATCATTTGTAGATCTTCTAGGAGTTGCTCTCTCTTAAAATTGGCCCATTTTTTTTCTAGGAGGACTCTTTTTTCTAATAACCCAAGCGAGTATAATATTCCTCTTCGCCTTTCTCTAGAAAATAAATTACTGCAAAATGAAAATATTAAATGTTCATATTACAATTTTTGATCTAAGAGCTCTAGAGACACTTCACATTCGTCAATAGGCTTCAATTGTCTGGCATTCTTCTCTAATCTTCGAATTTGCTTTTCAATTTTCTTCTTTTTCCTCTCTTCTCTGGCTCGAATAATTGCTGGATCCATTTTCTTTTTTTTCTTCAATGGTTCAGCCCTAAAATTATTCTTGGTATATTGGGTAATTGATAATCGAAGACATGAAAGGATAAAGGTGTTATGACCAATGAAGTAATAAGGTTTGGAGTGGGTTTTACGTCATTCAATCCCTGGGTGAGATAGCGCTAGTAAGGGCAGAAAATCCCACGGATCTATCCCGTTCTCTAACTCTAATGTTGGCCGCAAATATATGTATTGAGTAGATAGGCAAAGCGCCATTCCTAACCTTCTCACTACTTCATTGGTTATGACGCACTTTTTAACGGTGAAAAAATGATATTTTCCAGTATGGCCTAAGGTAGGTGTACACTTAATAGAAAAATAACTATTTTCTGTCCAGTGCGACTTTTTTGAAGGGATAAACTTTTGTTCTCAAAAAGTGTTGTAACCCTATTATTGGCCGTTTACACCAACTATTTTAGGGAAGCCTTAAAGGGGGTGTGACCTAAAAAAACAACTAAGGCTACTTAAATCAAGAAAAAAAATCAAAATCAAAGATCTCTCGTGAAAACCACAGTCCTATGTTCAAAATAGTTTCCGAGAAAATCCCCTTTGAAGACAAATTTTGTGGGAACTTGTGACGTCACACTGGCTTACCACCAAAATCGCAGCCTTCTGTTTGTTCAGTCGTCAGTGAATCGTGCCCTATACTTTGAGTGGTTGCAATTCGCTCTAAGGGCGGGTATTATAAAACTACTTTGAGAGTTAACTTAAAGTTAACTTCTGGAATTTCACGTAATTCAAAAAGTTAACTTCAAGTTAACTGTCAAAGCAGTTTTATAATACCCGCCCTAAGTGAGATCGTTGACTTTTAATTTGGAAAATTTCACACGTGTTAATCTGTACTTCATGACACTTTGATCCACTGGAGTGTTTAATTATAATTTACTCACATGAGACAAGGTGAAGCCATGAAAAATTGGGGAACCTGTGTGAAAAGGTTTCGGATTGTTGAAGGAATGCATAACCTGTAAAAATAAATGGAAGAAATTGTTTTAATCTCTATAGAGTAAGATCCCAGAGCCCTGCCTATGGACGCATGCATACGTGCTAAGTTGGGTAAACGGTCAATTTACAAGTATCCGGTGCGAAAGGTAAGTAAAAATAGGATTCACTCCACTCAAATTCTAAAGACTGATTGTATACGTCTTAAAGAATATTTTCACAAATGAATATTCAACACTCAGAGCCGAATTTATAGTCGCTTCTTGCGGTTTCCTCAGACCTTCAGGAAGCCTTAAACGTTTAGAATTGACATGACTAACTTGTCAAATAGTAGCAAGTGTCCATTCTAAACACTTGAGGAAGGCTCAAGAAACGACTATAAATTCGGCCCGCAAAAAGCTCCGTCTCTACCGTAAATATTGTACTGGTACTTGATCTTTCCCATTTAAATTGCGTTGCTGACAAAAATGTAGGTACATGTTTCGCAGATTTCTGACATCAATTCGTTTTAAATGAAAAACTTCAAGTACCAGGAGAGCACAACTGAACCATTTGGTATAACCGGGCCGAATGCCTGGTTGCACGAAATAGTGTTTTAGTTAATTTCTTCTGGTATTTGAACTCGCCCATTTAAAATGATTTGATGTCAGAAATATGCCAGAGTGTACATTTTTGACAACTACGTATTTCAAATGGAAAGATTCAGATTCTCTGGTTTGTATAGTAGAGCTCACCTGAACCACTATTTGGTACAACCGGGTCTTAGTCTACTCCAGGCTTCATGTGTGTGCGAATAAAATAAAAATATTTGAAGTTGTAGATAAAATATCATTGCCAGAGTTATAAAATTGTGTGTTTTATGAAAAGTCCGATGAGAACTCAACATTATTTACAGAAAAGACGGAGTTTGAAAGCGTCTGGAGAAAGGTATGACTGAGGGGGAGTGTCTGGCAGGGTTGAATATTGATTGGTGATAATATTCTTCAAGACATTTATAAGAATTATCTCTAGAATTTAAGTAAAGTGAATCCTATTTTTACTTACCTCTCACACTGAGTACTTGTAAATTGGCCGTCTACCCAACTTAGCACGTTTGCATCCGATCAAAGTACATAGAAAGACTACCCTATCTCACACATTTAGTCCCTTAGAAAATAAGTTCGGTACGTCTGGGGGCATTGGGATCTTGGGCTCTTAGTGAAGCCTCTACCTTCCAAATTGGGGTATTATTTTAGCAATACTGCTCATTTTTAGATTCTAATATTATCTTTTTAACAACTAGCAACTGAGTGTTTGAGGTTAGTATTTTTGACATTTTAATTTGCTGGTCTCAAGGATCATAAAAACTGAAAGGATGGCCTTGTTCCTCAGAATGGCCAGTTTGTTGCGCATCACGCCTTGAAGACATCGTAGATGCTCCACGCGTGGTTATTTTAAATAAATAACCACCAAATGAATAATTCTCGGACTGTAATTCTTTGTATTGTAACGCCAAAAAACACAAATGCCATACGTATGGTCAAAGCTAACGTATGGTTCTTGTACCTTCAGTCAAGTTGACTCCTTGCAGCTGGAGGCATAAGCTGAATGATGAATATTTTAAAATGTATTCAGTTGCGAACTGTGACTTATTGGCCAAAGGGGGCACCATATTTGGCAACAAGGTGTTTAGTTCAGTTAGCTCGAAAAATACCTAGTATATTTCCTCTTGGTTCAGGCACCATTTTGAATAAGTTTTATGTTGACGATATTTTGTCAGGAGCAATTCACAGGATGATTTGAACAGGCTCCGCAATAAACTTTTCCTTATGCTAGAGCAAGGTGGTTTCTATTTGTCAGTACAGGTGGAGTCTTGCTGAAAGAGCCTTTACGCAAGGTTCCAGGTTTTGCTTGGAGCTGAGAGGTGCTTTCTTTTCAGAGCTTGGAAACCCCAGGCTTCGACGCCCTGTAATATAATTATCTGACACTAGTGACAGTTCGGACACTGGAGCTGAGAGCTTCGACGCCTCGCTGACGCGCTAGCGGTGGGGATGGACGACCCCGGAGATTGATGCCCCGATTAAAAGGAACGGTTGTTTGCATTTCAAAATCGTGATCCAGGGCGCCCTGGGGCACCCGATCCCCTGAAAAGAAAGCAGCTCAGGTGACGATACATTCAAGGTCACTTGCCCAATACCCGATGTTTTTGCTGCCACCAAGCGTCAAGTCTTAAAAAGCATATGAGGCAGCAATTTATTTGCGTATTATCTATAAAGAGAAGAACGTCTCTTCCCGTTTCATTTGCTCAAAATCAAGGGTAGCTTCCTTCCTTGAAAACGATCTCAGTAGCTCACCTCAAACTTTGCGGTGCCCTTTTATTTTATTATTTACTAAATTCTGTTTTAAATATTGGTAACCATATTTTTTCTTCTCTTATTTCGATCTATTTTACTCAGTACGTGCCATAAGAATATTTTCTGCAGTATTTTCCCAATTAAAAGATTTGGTTCCAAATCTGACACTTTTGCTTGCTTGAATAAGCAAGAGGAACCACCCCCTGGGTACCTCTTTGGAAGCCCATTGGCTACCCCTTAGTACCGGGCTTGAGATTCGACAATGTCGAAGATCTCCAACCCTCCTAGCTTTCAGCGATTCGCTGAAAGTACCCTGCGGTGTCTTGTTGTTCTCTCACTGGTTCTCAAATTTATTCAATATTTCCTATTCGAACTGCTTCACCCTGTGATCCAGTTTGATTGCTCTTCAACAGAGTTCGCTAGTTACATGTGGCCATATCATTAATTGGACAGTTATTGTTTTCCCTTTTAATTGAAAACATTTCCCTTTTCCAATTACCTATGCTTTCTATCCTAATTTCCAACCTTATCAAGTAAATAAAATAAAAGCTCCCTAATTTTTAACCTAATCATCAAGGGTGTGAAATGAATTATCAAACTATCCTCTATCAATTTATTCATAAAATAATTGAGTAATCACTCCTATCTTAACCTACTTACATCTTAATTATAACTAAGCATTTGACTATCTTACAGTCAACATTTCACCAAAGTAATAACCCTTGATAATTTTATTACTATACAATTTATTATTGTATCTTAAAAATCTAGCTCATGTAATCATTGTTTCGCTCCACACACGCATGCTTCGAATATAATTCTTTCCAGCAACGATATCAGTTACTTACCTGACATCTGGGTTCGTCATAAAACGTGGGTATTCAGAAGATTAACCTTGACTTTGAATACATTATTACAACCACATGGGATTTGGTGCAATCTACAGATTAGTTTTAAGTTTGGTATTTATCTACGAAAACATAAATTTTGCCTATACATATATTTGTCAAGTTCGGGTTACAACAAAATAATCTTGAAGCCATAAAATTCGATACTTTTTTGGCTTTCCAGTGATTTTTACCCTCGAACAGATTAGATCGTGTGTTTGTAAAGTCTGTTTTTTTTTTAAAGTCAAAATGACATTATGTTGGCAATACAATATAAAATTGTCAATGCTTTCAATTTTTTTATGTAGAAAAGGCTTGTGTTGCCAACATAGTTACTAAATTTTTGACCTTGGGAATTATCTTTTAAAAAAAACAGACTTTAAATCCCATTAGGGTCACATTTTAACTATCTATAAAAATAAAACTTTTTCCCACGAAAGATGAACTTGAGCCGAGATTATGAATTTACTATTGATTTTGTTACTCTTTATATAGCAAAGTTTAATTTCTAACTGAAAATAATAAATTTTAGTTTATGCTATTTTAAGAGACCTTGTCTAATAGTGGGTATAGACTAAAAGAAAATAAACAGGTGTTTAACGCTGAGGCCTTTGACATTGTTTATTTTATTTTAATTCACAACAAATGTTTGAAATAAATGCATTTGCTTCTTTCAAAGTGTTTTGTGGTTTAAATTTATTATTGTATTCAATGACATTTCTGGTGTTTGAGTTGTTTTTTGGCGTTTCCGATTGGTAGATTCAGTACGCACTGAGTGTATTTGCATCCTTTTAATCGACCTGTA